GGGAGCGCACTTCCCCCCCCCACCCCGAGGTCCCGAGCGCGCGAGCCGGAGCTCAGATGCCGAGGAGCAGACAGACGCACAGCACCACGACATGGACCACGCACATCACCACACACGCGCTCAGAAAAACGACCAGAAAGAGCCGCGGCCCCTCCATGTCCCCCTCCATGGAGACACGAAGTGCGAACGCACTCGGAGCCAGCGCACCCTGGACCCCGGCCGGACTTGCGGCGGCGCCGCAGCTAGAGCACGTGCACCCCTCGACACAGCACACAAGTGCGCGCGTGCCTGTGCCACAGGCAGGGGCCTTTGTCATGCCCAGATGGAAACTCAGGGCCTCTCACACGTGTACAGGCACACACCTGCCCTTCGCAGGCACCACACTCGGTCTCTAAACGCGAGACGTGACGCGTTCCTGGTGAAGCCCTTACAAAACCACACATGTGCAGTCACCCAACACACATGTACGACAGATCCGTCTTTGTCCACAGTGATACATGTTAACAACCTCACTGGTATGCTCATGCACACGTGTGTATACACGCCACAGACACATACACACACAGACACATACACACACACGCACACACACTTGCACAGCAGGCAGAAAGCAATATTCCAGGCCCACTGGGAGGCCTATGGCCAGTGGGGGTTCGGAGCCCACCGGGTACCCTCCCCGCTGCAGAGCTCCAGGAGATGGTGCCCCCGCCTTTGTCCTGCCTCCCACAGCCCCCAGTTTCAGTTTAGAGCCCTGCTGGGAAAAGGGGCTTGGCCTACAGCATCGCCTCTCCCCTTCAGCTGGGAAGACACAGGAGAGGGAGGGCCATTAGAGGTGCCCACCCTCATGGGATCCAGGAGGTCAGGATTTGGGGACAGGGCATGCTTGGGTGCTTAATTTGCATATAGATCCTAGGTACCTGGAAACTGCAACCTCCCAGCCACAGCCCCTTCCTCACCGTGCTGGGGGCGGGGTTTTGTTTCTTTGAACCTGGGGGTGGATGCTTTGGTCTCAGGGCCCTCTGAGGGAGCCCTGGCAAGTTTAAGGACAGGCTTGCCATCTTAGGGCCTAGATAGGGGGCAGGGGTGAGAATCCCGAGGGCCCATGCTCAGGAGGATGAGGACTTGGACACATGGCTGGGGCCCTGCCCTTTCATGGAACCTACCCCTCCGAAGATACTCTCTGCAGCCGACTCAGATGGGGGAGATTGGGAATTTTGCAGACAGACCAGGGCGAGCAGTGGGGTGCCAACCACATGACCCTGGTTTCTGTGGCCCCCCTCTGTCCCCAGTCGTGTCAGTACACTGAGGCAGGCTAGCAGGTCTTTCCAGCCCAAGGTACCACAGTCCATCGCCCTGTGTGGGCTCACTGAGGTCTCCCTGGCCCTCCTTCCTCTCTTTCCTCCTTTCAAGGCCCCTGACCTCACCCTCCAAATTTATCCCACGCAGTGGGCAGACCCCTGAAGGACTGGGTTCTCGTCCAGAAGCTCAACAAGGCTGGAGGATCTTGGGGCTGGATTGCCTTGTGGTGAGGGCTCCTCACCTCCTGCCCAAGTCACCAAGAGAGGCTGTGGACCCCAAGGACCATGAAAGGGGCCCCCAGGGGCAGCTGAGTGATCCCTCCTTGACTCCTCCCTCCCCACTCAGGCCCCTTCTGACCCTTGCCCTCCCAGGTTCTGGAAGTGGGGGACATCCTCCCCAGGAAGTTCTGGGCACAGACAGGGCACTCCCTCAGCCAATAGGCACTGCTCTGGGACCCCGGCTCCATCCCGTGCCTGCTGGGGACCCCCTGGCCAGCTGCTTTTTGTCTGAGCCTTTTCCTTGTCCATAAGCATGCCAGTCCTCAAAGGAAGTTGGGCTTTTGTAAGCAGAAAAGCTCAGTGCTTACAGGCCGGCCACAGCCCCTCCGGCCCTTCCTCCTACATCTGCAACCCAGGCTTCAGCCCCAGACAGCTGAAGGGATCTGGGAGGGAGACCGGCAGGGTCCTGGAGGCTGGGGCTGCTGTGGGAGAGAGGGGCTTCCCTTTGACAGGACCTACAAGCCAGGAGCTTTATGTTGGTTTGCTCTGGTCTCAATAAAGCATTTATGCATTCAGGAGGCCGGAGATTTCTTTGTAGCAAGCAGACGCTGAGAAAGGGTAGCTTAGGAGCATTAGGGAGGGGAGATTGGGGACTGTCACAGACTCTAAGGCTGCACAGAAAGGATGAAAATGCCAATCTAGTCCCTCGGGGAGAAGTCGGCCCTGGCTGCTATTCGCAAGCAGATCCAGGGGGCTGGGGGTGGCGGTCCTTCCTCTGTCCCCCTCCTCCCCCTGCTCTCCTCCCATCCAGGGCAGTGGCCAGGACCCTGGGGGCACTGAGTTGAGCCCTGCAGCCCTTTCTGGACATGCTCAGCCCCCGGTCACCATGGTAAGGCTGGCACTAGTAGCGGAGACTGGACCATCACGGGCAGCAGGGCTGCTGCCCAGGACCCCCCAGGCCAAGGAAGCCCAGCCTCACAGCTGGTGGTGGGTGAAAGTGGCCCTCCCTGCCCTCCCCAAGCTCTCCAAACCTGAGCCACCTAGCAAGCCCATGACAGATCACTTCCCCCTTGATTAAAGACCAAACAGCTGATGGGAGCTGCTTAGCAGGTTGGCTCTGGAGGGCCACTGAGGACTCTGCAGCAGGGTGTGGGGTGGATGGGGGCCTTTGCCCCATCCAGACTCCATCTGTTTCTAGCCTCTGTCTCCACACAGACTGGCTGCTGATTCTGAGGACCAGTCTCAAGCCAACAAGCTGGGGTCCCTGCACCCCAGACAGGCGGGTGGAATCAAACCCTTCCCTGCTGCCCCATCTTTCCCTCAGATTCTGATTGTTGCTTTGCCTGTCTCGCCAGTTCCACACTTCTGAGATGGATGGGAGGCTGGAGTTGCTAACTCAGGGCTAACCAGCAGTAGGGCCAAGATTTGAGCCTGGGGCCCCGCACAGAATCCAAGTGCAAGCTCTCGCTCAGAGGAGAGGAGGGGTCAGTGCCTGGACCCAGGAGAAGAGAGGGGTTCCTCACCAGATCCCCAGGAGGCGTCCAGTATTTTGGGACTCTGAGAGCTTCAAGCAGACAGGAAAGAGACCAAGGCTCCCCCACCCGGATGGTCCACCCCAGCTGGAAGGAAGTGGAGATGGAGAAGTTATCTTTCCTGGGGACAGGGGATGGAGGGAAATGAGAGGTGCACCGGGGTACATTTAGGTTTCAAGTTCAATCAAAGAGAAAGCTTTGCAGTCTTAAGTGGGTTCCTTCTCGGGGAGCCAGGAACATGGCCACAGAAGCGCCCCCCCCGGGGGCGGGTCCTCTGGTGGGGGCAGGGACAACACCCAGTTAGTGCAGGGCTCTCTAGGGGCTCAGAGCCTTCACGCACCCGGAGTCCCTAAGCAGGCTAGCATGTGACAGGGGACGAGGAGCCTGTTTCACTGTTTCACTGTTTCACAGTTTCACTGTGAGGGAAAACAACCAGAGTCCACGAGACGCGTTAGTCTGAGTCTGCTGCGGTCACTGT